AGAAATCACAAGTCCGCTTCTTTTGCTGCACTTTCTATGTTCTTTGGATCCAAACTCAACAATCCCAACAACCTACTTGTGCTGCTTTGTATGTAAGTTCAGCAGAGTAGGAAAATAAAACGTCCCCAATGAAATTGGTTATTAGTGCACAAGTTCAGAAGCTTAACAATAAAACAGTGTGCAGAAAATTTTAATCGCTAAAATAATAATAAATATACAGGTAAGTTTTGACTATGAAGTAGTATACAGTCCACCTCTGTCATAGACATGTATTTTTTGAAACCCTGCAATTCTGGCAAAACTGCAAATGCAAGAAGCGAAGAAGTGAAATTTCCAACACCTGCTAACATCTGTGTCTCATCCTTCATTTGCTACTTTGAAGATAAGCAGGTTTAGGCCAAACAAGAGAAAATAGTGTCTTTCTTTCAAAGCTTGTTGCAGCTTCTTTTCTTCCTTTGACTGCATTTTGAACAGCTAGTCACTAATAACCTTTCAAGATAAAAGTTGACCGAGTTCTGTTATTACTGGATTTCTCTGTGTACTTCTAGTTTAACGCTACGAATACAGTAGGTGACTCAGGAAAAGCATTGTCAATCTTGACATATGAAATAAATTTTTAGGCATGATGACTGCACGTGTGGCATCAATACATGTAAAACACATGGATCATTTCGTAAGATTTTTTATTTTTTTTGGCAATTGTAAAATGATCCAAATTTTGGGGCGATTTTGATTCATTGAACCGTTGGACATTGAGACTACATGTATACATCCAAATGTAAAAAATAAAATAAATAAAAACACCATAGCTGAGAATTCTTTGCTCACTGCAGTTTCTTCCCCAGAAAGCCTCTTCAAGTGTGGAAACATCGAGGGTGGGATTGTTGAATCTGTCATAAGGTCATGAAGGAGGCAAAATGACAAATTCCCCTAAGGTGATGATAATCAGTCATAAAAGCACTGCTTCATCTTGAACTCCACCCTCTCTTCTTTTCCCTTTAGTGTTGGTGCAAGAACCCCCGATACTATGTGACACACACAAAGTCACCCCACACCCCCTCCATGCTCATTAAAGCCTGCATTGTTTTGTCAGAGATCAGTGTGGGTTTCATTCCCAATTCCCAACTTTTAACACATGCCAGTAGATGAGAGTCGACTAGAAGTCCTCGTCAGTGACAAAAATAAACAGCACTCCCGATTCTCCTGCACCCCACCAGCAGCTCTCAGCAAAAGGCCGCTGGATCACAAGATATGAAATGCAAAACAGTGAGATTTTTATCTCACCTGGGATCTTATAAGATTGGAGAACTTCTAAAAACACAGTAAATGCTTAGTTTGTCATGCTGAGGACTGATGGTTTGTGGTTAATTTGTTCTATTGTCTAAACCATGCATGCACAAAGGCTGAAGTTAGTGCAAAGGAGCCCTTTGAGCAAGTGACAGAGCAGTCCTGCCACTAAAGTGTTTTTCTTTTTCAAGTTTTGTCTCGGGCTTTCCATAACAATCATGCCCAGCTGAGACAGGGAGCGGGGGTTGCAGGAATCTGCTGTACTTTTCCGCTGCAAGCTCCCTCCCTCGGTCCCTCCCTCTCTCGCAACTTCTTCCTCTCCTCGGTTTCTTATTCCTGTTAATCCTCTTCATATCTCTACTTCTCTGAAACTCATCTCCCTTACCTGGGAGTTAAGGAAGATAGAGCATTCATATGCACACACAAACCTACCCCAAACCTGCTGAATCTACCTCCAGGAAGATTCAGCAACACACTCAGAGAGGTTATAGGCATTCACACATCGATCCTTCCCCTGGATCCCCATCGTGCAGGTTGGGGATCCAGCATTCCTAGCAGCCCATAGTGTGATGCTTATCTTCAAAGTAGCAAGCATGCAGTTGTAGGTTAGGCTGTTCCAGACAGTGGTGACCTGTTGGTTTCATAACACACACACCTGGCCTACAGGCCAAATCATTAGGAATGAGTGATACTGTCCAAACATACAAAGCACTGTTAAACTCATGCTGGCCACATTTGTGACTGCATTTTTAAACAACAAGGGACAGGCTTTGGTTAGTCAAATCAAAGTTTTAAAACTGACTTTTAAAACAATTGCTGTTCAAAGTCTCTTTAATAGTTTGCAAGAGAAAGTGCTGGAGTGAGTAAAGTTTTCTCCAGGTGTGTAGGGTGCAATGAAATATAGCATCGCTCCTGCCCCACCTGTTGCCACACATTGCTGGTCAACTTGCTGAAAATAGTGTTCTATAAATTTTCCCTGCATTAAAGATAACATTGGAAATGTATCTGGATTTTTTTTTCAATGTAGACACAAAGAGCACCACCCAATATTATTACACTCTTGGGTTTAGGACTACAGTGAGCAAGCTGAGGGCAGGAGGGCTGTGGAACAGCCAATTGTAGACCCGCTACCCCAACATATACTACATTCCCTGCTATGAATACCAAACTGCTTCATTAACAGCAGTTCTATTATTTATGTATCACAATCAGCATAATAAATGAATGTTAAATTACAATATTAGAATTGTAATTTATCTCCAAATATTTTACTAGCAGTAGAAATAATGTTTCAGTGGCAAATAAACAGTAGGTCACTTGATACATTGAAGTTTTGTTATTTTGTCTAAATACATTGCTGCAAATCAATGACATGGTTTTATTTTAAAGAAGCTTTTTAAAACGTTTCAAACTACTTTGAATAATTATCTGAGCAAACTGTTTGATAACTAGGATCAACTGGAATGAATGTTTGATTGAATTGTGATAATATTTTGTAAAGTGGCTTGAGACATGTGTTGTGAATTGCATTTCAGAAATAAACTGAACTGAATTGACAAATTTTACTGTAATGCTACACTTCAATTGCTGACCTGTTGATTACTCTAAATAAGTAAAAAAGTCACAAAAAAAGGAAGTTGTGTTGAATTTTTTCACCGAGGATGAATATCTGCTTGTACTTGAAATTCCAGCTTTTGCAATTTCAGTTTTTAGAAAGCTATGTGACAGATACTCGGGTGTCAGTAGCAGTACATATGTTGAAAATCATCTCTGCAGTTTGAGACGGAGCAGTGCATCTTTACTAGGTTTAAACAAGAACTGAAATAAAGACTAATACTTAAATATCTGGTTTGAATATTTGGTTTTAATTTCTCTTTTAGCCCGGCATCTCAGCTTTAAACTCCATTTAGGCACAGATCAAAGTTTCCCAAGTGTTTTTTTGGATTTTTTTTTTTTTTTTTTTTTTTTATGAACCATGTGTAAAGTTTTACAGCCCATGTTCTGCCATATAAAAACTAACATGCAATAAAGTTGTGTCAAACAGCTTGACTTGAGCATTTAAATGTCTATCTGAGACAAAAAGGTCCATGAATATGGAAGAATAATTATCAAAAACCTGCAGAATTTAACTTCTGCAGGAATTTAACTTCAGCTTATTATGAGATTTAAAGTGAATGTTTCTGTTGTAAATAAAACAAGCACAAAGATAAAAGCTAAATTTCTAATGCATCAAATAGTTCAGTCCCCTGACCGCATGTTTGTGCTGGGGGAAGGGTGCAGTTGAAATAACACACCCTTGAAAGACAAAGATATGCAACATGATGGACCTGATGGGTTGGTTTGACATGGCCGGGCCAGCTGAGATGGATATGTTTCAGTGAAATTAGGAGAAAAGGAGCAGCAGCAGCAAGCGCACTAGCAATGACTAACCTCAGTCACTGACTATTTATAGGCAGAGTCACAGTAGTGCCTGACCTCCCCCCACTGCCACAATTGATCTTCACACATTGATCCTTCCCCCAATATACATCCATGCCAACATCCTCCCATGCTTCACTTCTTTACCTCTTATTTTCCCCCTCTCAAATGCTTGGTCACAGCTTAAAAGGCTCCTTCCAGCACATACAACTGCATGAAAACAGAAGGCATTCATGCTGAGGTGCAGCAGTAATAGTATGGAGTTAACACTACTTCAGCTGGAACACAAACAAACAAGAATGCAGGCTGAGGGATTAACATGAGGGGGAGGGGATGAATACAGTAACAGGGTCTTTCCACATGCTCATTCTCCAAAAGGAAACAGGAGAAACAACCAGGAGCTGCATTTATTTACCGACTTTAAACATCAGAATGTACTTAAAAAAAAAATAAAATCAATTTAGTAAAATACATCCGTAAGCAGTTCACACTATTACTGTGATTCTCTTTCCTCTATCATGTGGGGTAAATCAAAAGAGGAAGGAGTTATTACGCACCAAATTCAAAATTCCTGCAATACAAGTAAAAAGAAAGAGGGAGGGGCACTTTGGTGGGAGGGACAGTAATGCAAAATCTGCCAAATAAATATGCAAATATTTCCTCAGATGAAAGCAATCAAGCTACTTTGTGTGGAAACATCAATCCAAGGTAACAAAGCACAAAAGGTGATGAAGAAATCTTTGAAACACAAAGGAATGACAACCGAGTCAGCAGTCTGTGCCTTCAGGTTTTGAACTAACACTGCTGACTAGCACCCAATGGACAGTCACACAACAACATGGACTCACAATGGAAACATTTACAGCACACACACGAAGGCACTGTTCTCTGTGATGAGATGGGATTTCTCTCAACTTTCTTGTACAATAAAAATCATTAACTATTCACAGAATACATCAAAAAGCAGAGCTGGAATAAAACCACACAGTTTATATAAAACATGTGAAACCTATTTAATATTTTTTATTTTTTTTTAAATCAAATTCAGTTTTAGGGAAAATAACATGTTTCATCAATATCCTGGATAACAGGGAATTTAAACAACATTACAGTGAATAAGAGCAATGAAAGTCAAATAATGATAGAAACAGAGACAAGTATCCTCCAACTGAGGCCGAGTGCACAAAAAAATAAACTGGTCTACAACTGGAGCTAAATTATGTTTGCAAACCCCAAAGTCCCCCATTTATATCCATAAGTATGGCCCATTAAAAGAACGCAGGAGCCACCCTTACCTTCCCATGTATCCATTTCATGCTTCTCCCAATCTGCCTGGACCCCATTCAAGCATGAACCTGGCTAAAGAAAACCAGGCCTTGTGTCCTCATGTCTCTCTTTTTAACCGTGTCTTCTCCTTTCCTCCCTGCTCTCCCTCTGAGCAGCTTCTTCCCACGGCAGCCTGCTCCTCTCTGGCCACCGCCAGAGCCCAGCAACACCACTGGTCACTTTACTGCTTGGTCACATGACCAAGAGAGTTCAAGCCCCTGAGGTCACCACTTGGCTCGAGGTCCAATGACAGCTAAGGTTATCTGAGTGGAACTGATAGCCCTATTTTCTCTGACGTTCAACAATGCCTCCCCGCCCCTCACCCAAATTAGCCTCCCCTTCAACCATGCCTCTGGCACTTCTAAGGAGGACCAAAGTGCATACTCAAGCATAAACACAGGTCCAAGCTGACAAAACACAGATATTAGGCCATTGAGGCACTTAGTTGAACAGGAGGAGGATAAATCTGAACTTTGCTGTATGGTTCCTTACAGATTCATCACTCTGGAAAAGCAAAAATAGGGTGTGTAAGCTGAACACAAAGGAGGGGCTCTGCTGGGATCCACCACCTGTTACCACTTCATTTAAATTAGGGCTGGGGTCTTTATGAATATTCATCTAAAACTGAGTTTCTTTAGCACACATTTGCAGGAGAATGCTGATATTCAAAGTTAAGATATAGTTCTACATTAATTACTCATTTTATTGGCGCTCTACTCTTCTGCAAGTGTTTAGGCAACATAGAGACATGGTATGGAAGTTGTGTCCAACTCCATGACATTAGAAGGCAGTATGTCCTATTTCAAATTGTTAGTACTGGGCTGTTTTGCAATGTCACAGACATAAACAATTTATAGATAATTCATCTGGCAGCTGAGCTGAGGTGAGATCCTTTATAACAGAAGTGATTGCCACTTTTACCTAGGGGTCTCCAGTTCTCATAGATGCTCCTCTATAATTACCAGTTTCTTAGTTGTGCTGCTCCATATATTTCTTCTGCAATGATCACAGTAGAGATCGTACTTAGTGCAACGTTCACACTGACAGTGGAAACGGCTATAGGGGTTCATTCTACAACTGTTGGATCGCTGTTAGACCCCCCAAACCCCCATCGTTGCTGTCATTTGTGAAGTGTCTTTCCTGAGACACTTCACAGCATGTTTTTACTGAACTGCAATAATATGAACATGGTGTATTACAGCATAGAGATGTCTAAAACATATTTCGTAGTTTGCCCTAAGGAGCAGGGTTGAGAAACACTGATCGAGGAGAGTCTCTGAAGGTATTTCACTCAGGTTTGCTAGCTGGAGTCAGATTTGACAGGTACTCAACTTAACCATAATTTTATCTCTTAGGTCAGTTGTTCTCGCAATCAGTTCTTGTATCGTTGGAGCTTGGTGCCCAATTCTGGGGAGGGTGGATGTTGATGCTCATCCAACCTGGAGTTCTGGCTTCCAGTGTTGATGGTTTGAATTGTCTGGATCTCTGGTTGTGAAAGGAACACTAAGCAACTAGATGTTTTTACTGTGAGTATCAAAGCACCCATGTTTCTCAATTGCCATGTAATTATACTTAAGGTTACTTGAGTAGTAGAATTTCAACAAATCCTTTTCCTCTTCCTGTGTCTATTGCTCCAGTAGCCTATTTGTCATCGTAGTGCCCTAGTTCCTCAAAACGTAGCTCAATATCACCCAGTCAAACGAGGTTTGTGTTGACATTTGGCGTTCATGGACTTACCTAAGGACCAACACTGGATGATCTTAGGAGCCTAGTATATATCCCTGATAAATTAGATCATTAACTAAATGTGAGCAGTGGGTCTGTGATTTGGATGACCTCTATTAGCAGTACAAGCTAATAATATTATGTTTATTTGCATTTTAGGCAATATCTAGTCAGCTATCGTACCAGGACTTAATGTAGTCAAACGCAACAGAGGAGGATGTCATTGATTTCTTATTGCAACTACAACTAGCTATACACAACTGGAAGCCATATTGGAGTTAGAGTTTGGGGCTGGTCAGTATTCTAGTTCACTTTTGCATGAAGTGTACAAGTGGAGCAAATAAAGTTAATTACATTATTCTGTCTGTTTCACATATCGGCTGGATAAAAAACAAAGATTTTTTTCATAATGAGATGAGAAAAAAAAACATTGGTAACATTGCTTGGAAACAAGCAGGCTGAATTATATCTGCAACTAATAAACAGTGGAGTCAAACTTTTGACTCCAAAACTTCATTCCACTACACAAGGTATAAGTCTAAACATTCTCAATGACTTGTTTTTTAACACAAAAATTATTTTGTAAAACTTAGAACACCAACATGAAGATTATGACTTGAAAAAGCAAAGTATTTTTAAAACTAATTAACTGCAGAAGAGGATCCAATTAAAAAGTTTGAGATGTTTAAGATATGTCAGTGATTTAGCCCAGGTCCTGGTGTTCTGTTAATCAGCTGTAAACTGAATCTTACCATCCAGTGAGTTCCCTTCTTTCATTCCCTCCAATGCTCTGGCAAAGCATTCAGTGTTACACTAGGGAGCCAGAACCTAAACTCAACTGTGCGACATCACTTTTCCCACACCCGCAGCTTCCTCCCTACCTGACCCTGACCGCACACTACACTGGACAAGCCTGTCCCAGTCACCCAACCAGCTTTCTGGTTTGCTCCACCCAACTCAATACCACTTGTTCACTCTCACAGCAGCAGCTTGCCAACACACACACGGACACGCACACACACAGGCCCTACCCCCAATGCGAATGCTAATGACCGTGGCCACACTAAGTCACATTTAAGAAGCTTTCACATTCAGAGACATCACAGAGGAATGACTCGCGAGAAAACATAGGCTGTATGCTCACATTATATTGGGTGATCTGTTCACCATCTTGGATTTTAGCTTTCTACTTATCAGGCAAGCCAGTAGAAGCCTAAAATGCAGAGACATTAATACTATGGGAGATGATGAGTATAAGGCCTGTAGGACCTGCTTAGGATGCTGGCGTTGCATATCTCTTAATGTGTAGATTTCCTCTCTGCTGTGAACAATCAACAATTCAAGAATGGCAAATAAATTACATCATGCATGCATGAATACATCCAGATTTCTGCAGATGTTCTTTTTGCCTAAACTAAATGCTATGTAGACTACCTAAATCACACAACCTCCAAATAAAGAGCTTTTTTAAAAGGTTCTGTAAACATAAAGAACCAACAGTTACCAACCATTTTAAAGAATGCAGATGATAAAATATTGTTGCCATTCTGCTTGTTCCTTCCATAATAATGCTGTATTTTTTAAGAGTATTATTTGCCACATGTCACTTAAGCTTTTTTTCATTCCATGACACTAAGATGACTGACACAATCAGCCATGTTGTCAGAGTTTTATCTGTGGTTTTTAGCTACCTCAGGCTTAGCGTGCAGCTGGCGAGGCCCTCATGTCTCCATATCCTGCTGGTCAACTCCTCTATTATTTACAGTGCTAAAAGGCTTTTCTGCTTACAGCAGGTGGAGGAAACACATTTTCCATGAGTTTTCAGCCTCTAAGTTTGGGACTTGGAGGCTGAAATGACCCTAAGAAATGAGGGGTCCTTTGTTTTTCCATGCAACCATGAGAATCAACAATAACCTCACTTGTTCATTTGACATATAATTCTAAACTATGTTGTTGCATTCCAATTTCAATATTTATTTATGTAAATATAGTGTACACATGCTGACCCTGTATGTTTAATTTTGTTTTGCTTTACTCCTTTTCCATCTCCTTCATAAGTGCTGAAATGTCATTTTAAAAAGAGTCAGTTGCCTACCAAAATTCTTAGTTGACTTGATGTCAGGGCTGTTCTGTTGCTCACAGAATTTCCTTCAGTAGTTGAGTAACAAAGAGCATTTCTTGTGTTTAAGCTCCCCTCCCCCTCCAACACACTGTCACAAACCTCTTCATTCTACAGACAAAGAGCTTCAAGATAAACAGGAGTGAGCCACACAGTTCCTCCCCCAAAATACAGTCATGGTGAAAACAATGAGCTATCTTTTAATGTAATAATTGACATAAGACATAATACCAACTGTCGATCCCTCAAAATATCTTAGATTCAGAATGAAGAGTTCAAATGAGGAACTAAAACTTTGTATTGACAAAAACTATTTACAGTTATGTTTCAGTACATTCATTTTCATGCAACATGTTATAGACCTCAACACCTCAATCAGAACCAGATCTGGACTTTGGCTGGTCCAATTCAATACCCCAATGACCTGTTTTCTTCTTAATCAAATTCTGCTGCAGATGTGCTGCTCTGTGAGGAACATCAACCAGCCAGCTGTTGGGACAGATGGTGTCAGGTTTGGCCCAAATCAGTAGCCCTCCACCACCATACCTAGCAGTTTCTAAGAACCATTTGCTCTGATGCATTTTATGATTTCTGGCAAACTCAGTTTTTCAAATTTAGGGCAAACTTCCTGTTTATGTTAAGTTTTCTCTAAGGACAAGGTTTTACAAATATGCTTTATCTTCTGTCATACAATTAATTATACTAAGTCTGTTGATTCTGAGATGTACCTCATGCAGTATCTCATTAGGAGGTACTGCATGTAATCAATGCAGATGGATGAGTTTTTCAAAATATTGCTGGGAAATTAGTCCTTTAATCCTGGACATGTTCTTCAGTTGATTGAAGGCTGATGTTGGGCTTTATGTTATTTAGCATATCTAAGTCACACTGAATTTAAATGAACAATCAGTCAAAGAACCCATGTCTTAGTCAACTGAGTAGTCAAAAGCATGGCAGTTCCATAATTGGCTCCAATAAAATCGGTTGGGGTCAAACAATGATTACAGATAAATAAAAGATATAATGAAAAAAATAAATTATAGCTTCAGCTAAATGGTTATGTTTTTGATACACGTTTTTCCTTATGCTTGAAAATGCTTTATGATAAGCAATTTTAAGCCGATTTGGCTGAAGGGCCTCGCTGTTCAGACAAAGCTCTGATTGTGATGACAGGTTTACAGACAGGATTTGATGTCTTTCAAGACATTGTGGGCAATAAAGTTAAAAACAATATATGATCCACTTTTTGGTACTTATTTGCAATATCAGGACTCTAACTTATTC